GCAAAGGGTGGGTGGGGAGGGAAAACGCAGGTAGGGAACCAACCCAACAATACTTTCCTCCTGGCCCTAATCAACAGATAAAAATAAATAAAAAAATAAAAGAGGACTACTTCCCTTTTTTTTTTCTTTTTTTTTGTCTATCTGTCGATCTATTATGAGTGAGACATGTCAGAAGAGTACTATGAACGAGCTCTAGGCTAGGTTTTGCAAAGTTTCGGCTTTCACAAAATGCGATCTTGAAAAAAAAAATTGCGAGATAGAATAGAGATGCGATTTTCAGAAAAGAACTAAATCCCGTTTCTGAGAATATGGCAACCTCCGAATATGCCTATCGAAATGCTGGTAGGCTTCGCAAGATTTCGGTTTTCAAAAAAAAATTGCGAGATAGAATGGAAATTCGATTTTCAGAAAAGAATAATTCCAGTTTCCGAGAATATGACCACTTCTATCGTTATCCCAATATGCCTAGAGAACGAAATACTAACATCAGAAATTTTCAGCTATGTATGCAAAATATCAGAGAAACGAAATGCTACTATCAGGAATTTTCAGACAAAACGAAATGCGATTTATCAGAAATTTTCAGATATTTGTTACGTGAAAACGAAATACCAATATCAGAAATTTTCAGGTAAAACGAAATGCGAATATCAGAATTTTTAGATAGTAGGAAGCGTGTGTGAATTCTTAATTGATGTATAAATTTTATGACTTGCCGGTGGAATAGGAACCGGACTGACGCTCCCCAGAATAGAAGGAGCCAGGACCATAAGGCCTGTTTAAAATTAAAAAAAATAAAATAAAATAAAAAATAAAAAAATCAGATAGTTGTTGCGAGAAAAATAAAAAATAAAAAAAATTCAGAGATTTGACGAAGTCCTTCTTGATTTACTGATGAGTAATCAATAGATCAAGCAAGCTGGCTACTTGATTGAGCGGGTCCTCTGAATGAGAGGTCCGCTCCAATACCAAACTGTTGCATACTGTAACGGTGCCGACCAGAACAAGAACCGACCTCTCAATACAAAGTACAAGATAGCGTAGCGGAAGACTTAGATACCAATGATCCGAACAATCAATATTGCAATGCAGCCCTGAACATACATCATCATCATCGTTCCATGGTGTGAAAGGGGTCTGGCGCTTCACACAGGAAGACTGCGCCAGCCCCAACCATACACAGACGAAGAAGAAGGGGGTTAGACGAAGAGGAGGGGAAGATGGGAATGTCGTCAACACCAAGTCTTCGGCACAGGCCCAAATAGTCCCTCATCAAAATGTCTGAATCCCAAATGTCGAGTCTGGATCCAATGTCGTCAAGTCTCAAGTCACAACTCTCTCTCTGTCGTAGTCTGCTGATCCTGAGAAGTCAGGTGGTGAGAGGGTGGGTGGACTTAGAAGAGGAAGAAGAAGAACTCTCTCTCTCTCTGTGTCCAGTACTAACCTGTGAAGTTGGCGCCTTGATGCAGGTACCTCGAAGATGGAGCTGGAGCTATGGCGCCACAGGTAAGTACCGCTGGCCTCCGCCAGCCRTCTCTCTCCARCACTACCACTACCAGCTACTAKCGCCCTGCGCTGAAGACTACTCCTAYAGCTATGAGCGCCCAGCGCTGAAGACTACTGCTAGCGCTCCTCCTGAGTGCYGCGGCTGARTCCTGAAGACTACTCGTGCCTACTGTCCAACTACCTACCCGTAAAGTGCATGGGAAACCCCTATGTACTACTCGGCCTGGACTGGCTGCTGGCGAGGCAGCAGTCCAGGAGGCTGCTCTTGCCAATGCCGCAGGGAGTCAGGRGCTGCCGCTGCAGCTCCTGCTTGTGGCTGTCGTGGGAWACAGGCTAAAGATAGCCTGTTTCCGAAACCCTGGTTTTGTGCCTGAGCGTTAGGACAGGTCGATCTTATGAGGGCCCGGAAGTGGCCCTCCGTTTCAGGCTGAAAAGCCTCTGGGCCTGAAAGGCCCAGAAATAGGCTGAAAACGGAATAGGGCCTGCAGGCCCTCGTTTTCAGTTTCAGGCTGAAACGACCGGGGCCTGTAAGCCCTATTTTCTAGGCTTTTAGGCTGAAAGTGCGGGACGGGCCCTGCAGGCCCATGTGGCTACGCAGTATGCCACACTATGTGGCATCTACCGTCTTCACCCGAATAAAACACCCCGTCTTTACACCCATATTTGGTGCAACTTTCAGGCCAGGTACAGCGGTCATGACAAGGCGTTATATTCGCGTGAAGACGGTTGTGTGAGTGCTCTAAAATTTGCAGAGCCCCCCTATCCCGCTTTTCCAGCCCCATTCATTTTTTCAAGAGCACAGGCTGCTACGCCACACCACTCTCCAAAACACATTCCTCCGTTGACGCCAGAATTCGAGACAGCCGGGTTCGGGTGTGAGTGTGGCGAAGGCCACTGTCGAACGGCGATTCTCAAATTTTAAGACTCAAGCGAGCACTCCCAATTCTTTTTCGGGATTTGGGAGCGGTGTGGAGGGTCCAAAGTAAGGATTTTCTCGTCCCCAACAAAAAAAAAAAGAAAAACAAGAAACACGTTCTCCAAACTAGGAAAAGATTGTGGCTAGTCATGAAAGCTCTCTGCCAAACTAGGAAAATATTGTGATTAGCTTATAGCCTTATGCGGAAAAAAAAAAAAAAAACTCTGAAAAAGCTTATGCAAAGAGCAGGACTCAAGCAAGCCCTAAACCAAACCACATGCGCACAAGATGTCTCTTTTTTTTTTTTCATTTTACTTAAATTTACTATGATTTTAGTCATTTCTCGATTTATCATTTATGAAATTACAAGTGTGTCAGGCAGTCAGCCTTGCGCAGAGGCCATGCTAATCTTCTCTGTATCGTCAGTTCCGTTTCTCACAGAGGTCCCGAAGGGGACATTTCTTACAAATTTTAAACTTTCCCTTTTTCCAGAAAAATACTAAAATAGGGTACGAGAAGAGAGGAGGGAAAAAACAAAGAAAAAAAGAAGAAAAAAAAAGTACGGCCACAACACAGACCAGGCCTCTCACCTGTTCGCAGTACACAGCCGATTGCACCCTACGCAGAAGGGCATGGACATCTTCAGCACCAATCTCCACCCCCTCCTCCCTTTTTTTCCTGCCAGCATACCCTCCGCTTGGATATCTATCATTCCAATCGAAAGAGGAAAACCCGCTGCTCTTTGCATCTTCATCCTTCTCCTTCGCTATGTCATCCTTACTCACACTGCTGCGGGCTGGCCGCAAAACTTCTCTTTCTCCTGCAATGCCCGTCAAATGGCATCTCATGATCCTGATCGTCCGATTGGACCCGAGGCTTCCCGTGAGCTTTCCCGCTGAATCTTGAGTCAGGACAATGTTCGCAATCGGCGGCGGGCGTAACGAGGAAACTAGCTTATTCTCAGGGTTAACCAGGGACCACGACAAGTCAATGGAGAATCCACTTGTGCTGCTAGCTGCAGGGTTGACAAACACATTCCACGACATCCCGTCTTTGCCGCAACCTCTCAAGGACGAACGCTTCACTTTCCAGTTCTGCTGTAAACTGGCTTTGTCACCATCCCCATCCATACGCGCCCCCCCCCCCCCCAAAGAAAAAAAAAAAACACAAAAGCAACTCTCAGAAAGAGTTCATCACACGCAATGACCATTTCCAAAGGCTTTGTGGCATAGTTGCGGCGCGCTGGTACAGTGCGCTGTGCGGCGCGGGGCGCTATGCGCCATGCGCGTGCATTTCCAAAGGCTTTGTGGCATAGTTGCGGCGCACTGGTACAGTGCGCAGTGCGGCACGGGGCGCTATGCGCCATGCGCGTGCAAGCGCGCAAAAACCAGCTGCTGTGTGTGTGTGTGTGTGTGTGTGTGGGTGTGTGGGTGTGGGTGTGGGTGTGGGTGTGGGTGTGGGTGTGAGAGAGAGAGAGAGAGAGAATGAGAGAACTCATGATCTGTTCAATTGTGTCAAGTTGTCAACTGTTTCAACAAGAGTTACATCAACTTACATGTGCATATCGTTCAGCCAACTGCCAAGCACAGGATGTCTTGTCTCCTACCACTACATGCTTTTGACAGCAAGGAAAAGCAAATTAGAGGAAGTAGACGTATTAGGCTCATGGGTACTGCATACGACAGTGCATAGTATCATCAGTGTTCCACGTTTCGAATTATTCAGAAGTGTGCAGACGGGCGTGTCTCTGAAGGTGTGTGTGTGTGTGTGTGTGTGTGTGTGTGCGTTTTAGATTTTCCCCACAACAGCCCTAATTCCACCCAGATGAATAGATTCAGAATCAAATCAGTCTTTGTCCTATTGCAGACAACGCGAGCATTTGAGATGTCCAACATATTAAAGCAATTTTATAATTAGACAGTTTTTTGGTTGTCCTTGGCGTACCCCTTTCATTGTTCTTGCAGCTCCCCTTTTACTGCGCCTCTTACGCACAAGGCTGCCCACGTTGATTGTGGTTGAGCGGCAGCTGCCCACATCCCCGGGTGCCTTCACGACCCACTTGCACGTTATTTCAGGAGGCAGAGTAAAAGGGAAGGTATGCTCCTGTGCATTTCTCTAGAGCTTCGTACTCCTGTTCATTTCACTTCAAATCTTCAGCTTATAAAGTCTTTGTGTCCGTCCTTCATCTTCATACTTCCGTTCATTCATTTCTGATCGTCAAATCATCTGTTCTCTTAATGATGCTCATTCGTATGTATTCGTTAGTAGCACAAAGTGAGTGGAGGGGAGGGTGGAGGGTAAGGGATAGAAAGCGGAGTTCTATAGGAGTACGCTGCAGGGGAGGTAGGGGCAACGGGAAGGAAGTAAATATGTGGAGGGGGGGATAGAGTATGACATGCAAAGAGCAGGGGAGAGCTGTATGACGAGCTTCACAGATTTCTAAATATTCACCGCTGAAAGGGGAAAAAAAAACAAAAAAACTATGGCGAGTGGCCACCCCTACAAACCGGACAGGACAGGTTCGGGTGTGGGCTATGGAAGCACCGCATCCAATTGTCGCAGTCACAGTTGATGCATCGAATGGAACGGCGCAGACAGATGTCACTGGCTACGTGGCTCCTACATGCTAGGAACACAGAGGCACGTCGACCGCAATTATAGAGGCATTGCCGTTCCAGCCCTTGTCTACAAATTGGACATGACATGTCGGGGTGCCGTACATGAGTACAGTACTGACTGTCATCGTACGCATGGAAGCAAAAACTCGCATGGACTATCCCTTCATAGTCCTCACGGCACAAGGCATGCGAACCACATGCTAGTTGGATCTCCGGCGGGTCATCACAAAGCGGCATGGAGCATCTTTCTTGGGCTTCCTCAGTATGTATTCCTTCTCTATGGCCAGACGACGACAGGGAGGATCGGTCCAACGCAAGGACGTTCAGCTGCTGCAGGATATGATCCGCAACAGCTCGCCCTGCTGGTGATAAACTATGAGCACATCGCTCTGCCGGTGATTCATATAGAAGCCTATTTTCCTCCTCGGGCTGCTGTGTCCGTCGTTCGTCTGGCAAGAAAGAGGGAGATCTGTCAGCGGTTGCCGTAGGTGTATGACCAACACCACATGTGGGACATGCTAGGAGAGGATGTAGAGGGTGATGGCACCAGGGATAGTCCACGCAGTAAAGACACATACTTTCTATGACAGATTCCTGGAAGCATTGACGACACATGGCATGTTGCTGACATGTCATTAGTCTGGAAGGCCGACATGCACAGTTATTTAAGCATGGCAGGCCGACATGCACAGTTATTTAAGCATGGCAGATCAAGGCCACAACGGCATGCTGGGCAAGTAATCAGGGGGTGGGGGGGATGAGCACAGGACAGGGGATCACAATTTTCGTGTGAGCGGCTAGCAGCGACCATCCCTTCATAGTCTTCGGAGCAGAGGCTACGTGTGTACATGCCAACCGAACTAAACCTGTGCGACGACTCAACGGGAGGGCACAGCCATCATCCTGTGGAGAGGTCCTTTCACTGTTTGTGGTAGAATCAGCCGAATTGCTCTCCAGGGGGTGCAGTGCTTGCAAATGCTCATCGACATACTGTTCCTGATGGACGAGCCATACTGAGTGTCCCTCCAGCATTTGGTGATAGAAAGAGTTAATATTTCCCACTGTGTGCACCCTACCGCCATTGTCCCGTAGGATCCATGAATTATCTGCAAAGGTAAGAGCATTGAAGTGACCTGGACGATAAAAGATATATGCCCGAATATTCGGATACGTGCCTGGCACGTGGTTTTGCGGAGCAGGCTGCAATTGCAGTCGCCTACCCGTAAATGCCATAGCCATGACTTCTATGTTCACCCCAGGCGCAGCGCTGTCGTCCTCTGGGCAGACGGCTCGGTGCTCTTGTTCTATCCAGCGAACAACGACTGCGAAATCAGCAACAGTATAAGGATTACAATTGAAAGCAAGGAGAGATACATTAATGGCATAGTACGCACAGTGCCCTCGCTGTAGCGCTATGACATTGTCTGATTCCGCAGGTTGCGTGGGGGATCCGTTTACGGCAGGGGGATCCTCATTCGATTCTGCAGGTTGCACAGGTGGCGGAGACTCGTTGTGGTCTTGACCAATTGGCTCCAGTGTGTGCTCCGGAGAGAGATGATCTTCAACCGGGGGCTCCATCAGGTAATCAGGAGACGGGTCATTGTCATTTGGGGCAGGGGAGCGAGTTGGGCTAGGTGGATGAGAGAGGGGCGGGTCAGGTGGGTGAGAACTGGGTGGACCAGATGTGGGAATCGGAAGCTGATCAGCATCACTTGTGCTCAGGGCGGCTGCTAGTCGTGCAAACGCTGCACAAGTAGCTGCACCTCGTGTCTGGTGCAGTACTGATGCAATCAGCGCCACATTGCGGGCATCGGACTCGATGTGCACTATTCCTCTCTAGTGTATACTGAAAGCGGCGATGTCGTTCTGTACGGTTGCGAGCATGTGATCGGAGCAGATCTTTAACCCCTGCAGGGGGGCGGTGATCATGTCATTCAACGACAAACGAGGCCTCTGTCTTGGAGGCTGCTGTGGAGACGGGGAACGTCTTCGCCGAAGAGGCATCTGTAACGATCAATCTAACAACGGATACCTCGGCCGACAGGGCCTTTGTGACGGTCGATCTGACCATAAGTGCGTTGATGATGAGGTCGATGATGAGGAAGTAGAGGAAGAAGTAGGAGAAGATGAAGAAGAAGAAGACGATGCAGACGACTAAGCCCAGGTTAGAATGTCATCAATGAATCAGTATGTGAATGCATATGCTTGCGCAGCATGCAGATCTCACTGACGAAGATCATCGATGAACTGTGCTTCGTCCCAATAAAGCGTGAGGTTAGCAATTTCTGGTCCAGCGTTAGTGCCCATAGGGATGCCGACCACCTGATGGCACAGATTGCCATCCCTCGTATAAAGGTAAGTATTAGAGACCACGAACCGCAGATGTTGCTCTATTTCTGACGCCGAGAGGGTGTCTGACCCATGTGAAGAAAACCCACTCCCCACGATGAAGACCTCCTATGGTCATGTACATCTGTACTGGCCTTCTGCCCTGTGAGATCCACCCCAAAGCATAATCATGTGCTTCACGAACAGCATTCAGAACATTGTTAAAAATCATGTCGTGTGGCAGGTTCGTGTACATAGTTGTAAAGTCCGCTGTATGTGGTGTACAGCCTCGAAGGGATTGTGCATTCTGCTTGAGATCAAGAATGACTTCTTCAGCACTTTGCACAATCCAGCGACGTTGTATCCCACTTTCTTGATAAAGCTCATTATCCTTACTGCGCAGGGACTTGATCACACCTTGAAGGGTGTAGCTAAGTGAGCGGGAGGCCATTGTTGTACTTGCAAAAGGCTTATGAGGGGGTCTGTTGCGCAGGTCCGTAACTGAAGGTCGGTGAGGTGTTGTGCAAGGTGCAGATCGGGAAAGGTTGTTTCGCTGTGTAACTCCAAGAATCAGACGAAGGGCAGGTGGAGATTTGTGTGCTTTGAGTGCAAAGTAGCGATAGGGCAAGGTGTCAGTATGTCGATAGCCCCAACGTTGGCTGAAAAGTGCATGGCGTTCAAAGATGCTGGCCACAGTCTCCGATGCTTGATTGTAGGTGGAACTGTCAAGATGCTGTGATAAGTTATACTCGTACCAGCGCTTGCAGCAGATTGCCATGTTGTGTGATGTTTTTTCGACAGGTACTAGAGCGAATTGCTGTTGTAGCTGCCGAAGAGATGTGTTGGCAGCACGAGAGGCAGTTTGAGTAGGTGCTTGGTACGGTGACGCAGTAATATTCCGTTGGCATCTTGAAAGAACTGATGTGTGTGTGTGTGTATGTGTGTGTGAGAGAGAGAGAGAGAGGCCTTAAACTCGCTTTCCTTCTCCTTTTCAGAAAGGGGTTTAGCCCTTAGCATAATTATATCCACGAGGCAGGGTGTTCCATGACACCTTGCACACTTTTTCTTTTTTTGGGCGGACGTCTTTTTTTTTTTTTTTTTTTTCCCTTTTTCTTTTTGCGCCGCATCGCGTGCGATGCGCGGTGCGGTGCGCGAGGTGCGCCAAACATGCGCTCAGGTGCGCACCTCAATGCGCCACAACTATGCTTTGTAGTAGTTTGTACAGCACAAGCCCATCACATCCAATTGTCCGTTTCCAGGTTTCGGCTTGGTTTTAACTGTTATTTTAATTAACACAATTTAACAGGTTTTTTTTTTTCTTTTTTTTCACCATTTCTCGATCCTTGCACGAAAGGGGCCATGCTAATCTTCTCTGCATCATTCCAATTTTAACAGTGGTTTTAACTTTTAAGTTGTTTCGCTGTCACAGACAGCATTTCTGAGGTGAGCGAGTTGCGGCGGGGTCTGCTGTGTTTTCCACTTCCCTACTGGAGAAGAAAAAGGTAGAGAAAGTGAGAAAAAACAAAAGCTGTGTTAGCCCAAGGCACACAAATGAATTAAAAAGTTAAAACAGACTGAAAAGCATTTCAGTTTGTTTTTCAGTGTTTAGTACTGTTTACACAACTTTTCAGTCTGACAGCAGCATTAAAAAAAATAAATGCAGTCTTCCAGGACATCCATTCAAATTGGAACGATACAGAGAATGAAGATTAGCATGGCCCCTCCGCACTCAAGGATGACACACATAAATCGAGAAATGGTCCAAATGTCCTTCGGGACATCCATTAAAATTGGAACGATACAGAGAAGATTAGCATGGCCTCTGCGCAAGGATGACACGCAGAAATGGTCCAAAAAGACTCCAAATGAAAAAAAAAAAAAAAAACTAACGGTTATATATATAATGATCTCCAACAGACAAAAAAGGAAAAAAAAAAAAACAAAAAAAAAAAAAAAAAAAAAAAAAAAAAAAAAAAAAAGCACAATTGGTTCCGACTCTTCTGAGTCTTCTCAAGCAATGGCTGCTAAACTATCCCAAGAAAAGTTAGAAAACAAGCAAGATGAACATGCATGTACGCAGCAACCGACCAACCAACCAACCAACCAACCGACCAACCGACCGAACAAACAAACAAACAAAGCCAAGAGAGATGAAAATAAGCTCCACGTTCGTAAGGCAATTACCTTCTGATCAGAAATGCCCTCCCCGCACACACCACCCTGACCACCACTGAAGCATGCAAAGCCTCCAATTCATATGTGTGTGTGGCCATAGCAGTTACTGTACTCCGTGCATAGCAGTTACTCTGCTATGGAGAATAGCCATTACCGTGCTATGGAGAATAGCCGTTACCGTGCTATGGAGAATAGTAGTATACTGAGGTCAAGTGCATAGCAGTTACTAACTTACTATGCTATGGAGAATAGTAGTATACTACCAGCTGGCCTAGATCAGTTGGTGGTACACCCCTGAACTGTTGCAATACAGTGACCGGCCCTGTTCCAAAACTCCACTGGAAGCAGATGAGTGAAATACTCCAACTCTGAATTACCTAGGGCCGGTCAGTTCGATGACGGTATCTCAAGGCCGTCGCCCTTTTTAAACGAATAGAAGTATACTGAGGGTAAGTGCATAGCAGTTACTAATGCAAGGAAGATGAGCAATAGCGAACTTCAGCAATCAAACAGCATCATACATATGAGTCCAGATAGTCGTGGCCTCGAACCAACAGCAGAATTGCATCACGAGATTCACCAAATAAGAACACACCAAGAGTTCATAATTGACAATGCTGAAATAGTCCCATCATCATCAACGAAGAACCAGAGTTGATATCCTATCTGGCGCTCGGCACCCAGACTACATGTGGCAGATCCTATCTAGCCTATACTACGAAGCCGAAAGATGACGTCAACAGCATTCCCGAAGTACGAGCATATGGCGACCAATGTCGCACGTTTCCAGCACCACGTATGTCTCGCGCTACACTCACAACCTCGTTCCCCAACTCACTAGCACCCAAGGACCACCCTGCGCTTCACCCAGCATACAGCAGCGAAGCTCGGCTATGGCTGCGTGCTCCTTCCCTGCTCGCCCGTGAGAGCGTAGGTGCCAGCCAGCAGATAGCGCAGCAGCGCTTTCGCAGCATGCAGCCAGCACCGCTTTCGCAGCATGCAGCCAGCACCCGAATGCTGAATGAGGAGGCAGGCCCTTTGCTATATCGAAGTGGCCTGCCTGCGTCCAGTCCCAGGGAGCTTCCAGTAGGCCCCGGTAGCCTGAGGCCCAGCACGACGAGAACAGGCCTTGGCCCTGAGGTGGTTGCATGTGCCCAACTGCCTTTGGCCTGTGTTCGGCCCAGTACCCGTTTCCAGCCCAGGGCCTGCTTCACATACATTCACACAGGCGGCCCAGGGCCTGGGTTCACTCAACCAACTGGCGCTGCGCAACTGCCTGAATTTCCCTGCGTGGTGGCCAAAAAAAGGCCCTGAGCGCCTCGTCGAGCCTGCCTTCACTTAGGGCGGCCGAAGGGCTGCAAAAATAGGGCCTTATGGGGCTCATAGAGGCAGTGGCCTCACACTAACTTACGATGCTATGGAGAATAGCCGTTACTATGCTACGGAGAATAGTCGTTACTATGCTATGCAGAATAGCCGTTACTGTGCAATGGAGAATACTAGTATACTGAGGTCAAGTGCATAGCAGTTACTAACTTACAATGCTATGGAGAATAGTAATAATTACTGAGGGTAATAATTTGCCGAACAGTTACTCTGCTATGGAGAGCAGAACTTACTGAGGTTAAGTGCATGGCAGTTACTCCATGCTATGAGGAATAGCATAGCACTTACTAACGTCAACGAATGCTGAAGGGATGATTTTTTATTGTCTTTTCTTTTTTTACAGGGTGATGGCCTTGAGATATTATCATTGCACTAACCAGCCCCGGTAAATTCAATCTTCTGTCTAATTCGACAGGGTAACCTAATTTTGAAATGGCACGTACCGCATGAGCGCTCCATAAAATAGCCCTTCCTTGGCCACTTGTTTCCCAAGTCCTTGAGCTGTCTTCCTTAAGTAGCGCGCCGTCACCTTCCAGTCAAGATACAGTCAAAAACAAAGTGCACCCACGCCCGGACCGCCTCTTGCCTATATTAGATATATACGAACTGAAAGATATTAATTTATTACTAAATGACGAAATGATGATTATCAATTATTAAATTTATTATGAATTGAAAGTTCTTGTTCCCGAGCTGATTGCCGTAACGAGTGTCAGTGCATCAGAGGAACAAGGGCAACGGGGCAATTTCTGAATTGCTTGCCGTATGGCACTTCAACTTGTGGAGGTACGGAGGGAGGCAGGGAGGGAGGGAGGGCATGGGGGTGTACGTAATGAGTGAGAGCTGGAAGGAGGGGTGCAAGAAGGCACATATGGAGAAAGGCAGGTGTGGCACAGTTGCAATTTGATGTAGCATGGCATCAACTTGCTGAGCAGGGGGGTAGATACTCAGAACTGCAAGGAGGGGTGCAGGAAGCCATATGGAAGAGAGAGGTCCAAGAAAAAGGGGGATAAAAGGAGGGGTGCAAGAAGGGATATGAAAGTGGGGGGCAAGAAGGGTTATGAAAGGAGGAATTCAAAGACAGGACAATGGCCGATCTTCAATCATCATCATCATCATCATCAACATCATCAACATCATCCTCATTATCCTCATTATCCTCATTATCATCATTATCAAATTTAATATTTTATATCACCATTATCAGTGAGGTATGGTCACTATGGTGCCATAACCATAGGACAGTGCCTGACTATGGTGCCATAACCATATTTTGGTAACCTTAGTTTTGGTTTTCGCAAAAAGCTAAGATGCAGAGGATAGCTGGCGGCGGCAAGAGATTTTATTTTTCCCTTTTTTTCTATGCTTGAGCAGAGGAAGTGGGCTGCAGGATGTTTCGACGCTGTGTGGTACACCATTTCAGCAGGCAAATACAATTTAAAAATTTAGTTATTTTAGTTTTCTATGCTTGCACAGAGGAAAGTGGGTTTTCTCTTTTTCTCTCGAGAACAGGATAACCTCTCTCTCTCTCTCTCTCTCTCTCTCTCTCTCTCTCTCTCTCTCTCTCTCTCTCTCTCTCTCTCTCTCTCTCTC